TAGAAAGCTGTGTTTGGGGGCAGGGTGGTAAGCTTATGACTTTTAACCCCTAACTTTTAAAGCTTACTGAATTTTGTGAATGATAATACATAGCAGGAGTTGTCCTGTTTTTGAAAGAAATACTGTGAAAAGTGTTTCTTTTGTCCCTGTGCCTTTCTAACCTAGTGCCTAACTCCAATTAGTAGTTTGTTTTTTCTTCTAGGATGTTTTCTATGCATATACATGCCAAAAGAATATTTTTCCTTTTTTTTTTTTTTGAGCTGGAGTCTCACTCTGTCACCCAGACTGGAATGCAGTGGCCGCTCCTGGACACCGCAGCCTCAACCTGCTGGGCTCCGGCGATCCTTCCGCCTCAGCCTTCCAAGTAGCTGGGACTACAGGCATGCGCTACCACACCCGGCTAGTTTTTGATTTATTGTAGAGATGAGGTCTTGCCAAGTTGCCCAGGCAGGTCTCGAACCCGCGGGCTCAGGCAATTCACTCACCTCAGCCTCCCAAGGCGCGGGATTACAGGCTGAGCCACCGAGCCCGGCTTATTTTTCCTTTTTTATAAAAGTGATGGCGTGCCCTACACAGCATCCTGCATCACGTTTCATTCCCATAGCATTTTATCATAGAGAGCTTGCCATGTCAATACATAATAAGCCTTCTCATTCTTTTTTTTATGCTGCATAAAATTCCATTGTGTAGCTAAATCAAAATTAATTTGACAAGTCCTTTTCTGAAGAATATCTAGGTTGCTATAATGAATAATCGTGTACACGTGTTGTTTTGTATAAGTGCTAGTTTATCTGTAGGCTAATGTATACATATGCATTTTCTAGTCAAAGAGTTATATATGTTTGTAACTTTGAGAGAAGTTGTGAAAATGTCCTCCATGGGCACAGTGCTTACATTCCACTAACAATGTTTTAGGGGACCAATTTCCCTCCAGCTACATCAAAGTTTTGATGTATTTTCATCAATCTTATAGGTAAAAAGATCTCTCAGTGATATTTATTTTATTATGAATGGGGCTGAGCATCTTTTCATGTGTTTGAGTTATATATACGTTCACTTCTGTGATGTGCCTGATCATGTCCTTGAGTTTTTTTTAGTTAAATTTTTTAGTTTTTATGCAGTTTGAATTTTTATATTGGGAGATTAGCCCTTTGTAATGAGTTGCAAATATTTTCCCATTTTGTCTTTTTCTTTTTCCTTTTTTTTTAAAAAAAAATACTATATGGTCAACTCCTTAACTTATTCTTCATGTGAAGTGTTTAGCTCTGGGCTGTTTCCATTGTTACACAGTTTCAATCGTCCAAATGTATTGAGGGCTGCCGGTGTGCCAAGCATATCGTCATTCACATTTTCATTCACTTAGCCATTTTGTTTGTAGAGATTCAGTACTGGACCTTATGGAATACGGCTTGTAAATAACAGAGAGAGAACTTGAACCCAAGTCTTCCTGGACTATGAAACCCATTCTCTTAACTAACTACCCACTCAGAGTATCCAGTATGACTTCAGAGAGTGCAACCTAACCTTACTCAAAGGAAAACAGTATTCACAAAATCTAGTAGAAGAGAAAACAGAAAAAAAAGTGGCTTTTTATTATAAGCCTAACTCATAGAAGCCACTATTTGGAAATGTTCCTCTCCATTCAGACAAATAGAGGTTCAAGATTATGTAACCTCAGTAATTAATTGTTACTTCACATATGTTAATTATGCCATGAAGAAATTACTACTCTGTATAATCATTAAGTATTATGTCCACCCCTTTTCATGTTCTTCGTTTTATACAAATATAATTTTTCTTTCTTTCTTTCTTTCTTTCTTTCTTTCTTTCTTTCTTTCTTTCTTTCTTCCTTTCTTTCTTTCTTTCTTTCTTTTTTTTTTGAGTTGTAGTCTCCCTCTGTCACCTAGGCTAAAGTACAGTAGTATGCTCACAGCCACCGCAGCCTTGGCCTGCTGTGCTCAGGTGATCATTCCACCTCAGCCTTCCAAGTAGCTGGAACTACAGGTGTGTACCACCACACCCAGCTAATTTTTCTTTATTTATTGTAGAGATGAGCTCTCACCAAGTTGTCCAGGCTGGTCTTGAATCCTTGGACTCAGGCAATCCTCTTACCTCGGCCTCCCAAAATGCTAGGATTGTAGGTGTGAGCCACCATGCCTGACCTACAAATTTATTGATCATCCCACACAAGCAAACCCATTCCACAATTGACCCATAACATTCCCCAATATCTTAATATAGCCCAAAGTCAACTCAATTTTTTTTTCACTTTTAGTGATTTGGTGTATTTTTAACCCAGATTTCAGGGTGTATACCCAAAGAAATAAATGTTCCCCTTTTCTACCTGAAGATGTTCTACTGTGCATATAAGTGCATTCATGCATATGTGCATGAGTTTGTTTGTCTCATCTCCAGAAAAACTCTATCCTTTTACATCATGACTGAACAGACCACAAAAGTCAGGAGATGTGAATCCAGGGAAAGTTACTCTAGTTAATGGAAGCTTCAAGGAAATGTGAACAATCCAAGAAGCTCAGAGTTAACTAAAAACAAAAATAGTAATAGTAAATGCAGTATCTTCTCTGATTGAATCTTGGGCTCCCAGCTGCATAAAAATGAAACTCCATTTAAGTAAAACACAGGTGTTTTATCTCACTTCTTTGAATGTTGAAGGAAATCTGCTTTAATAGAATGAATTTCTTGGTGTGAGATAGAAAGTGAAAAATGAGTGGAAGACAAAAAATTGGCAACACTCTAGCCCACAGAGAGCAACCTGCTTCAGAACCTGTGATGTGGTTATTTTCACTTGCTTGTAAAAGTGAGGAAGGATGTAGAGATCACTTTGAACCTCTTTGCTTTTACCCCTTATTTCTGTATAGTCCACATTTTTAAATTATTGCATGCCTTATTCCAGAATCATTCTTTTTGACAATCCCATTGGACCTATAGCTGAGAATGTGTCCCTCGTAAATCCCTAAATATGGAAAGAAAATGTATGGATACAATGCTGAGGCATCACACATACATTATGCTAATATACTTGCTTAGAGAAACAATAACCAGGTAAATGAGCAGGTGATTTGGGGACCATTCCCTGCAAAGTGCCTGAGATGGAGATGTGACTGCTCTCCTTCAGCCTGTCCATCTCCTAGTGTGTATGCCTTTCCACATGCTTGAAGGTAATCCTAGACTTTGAAGATAGCCATTTATTATATGATGATGATTCCTAACAACACAAGACAACTCCTTCCTCTGTAATTCATCAAAAGAAACCATCACCTATAACCATGCAGGAGGAAAAATTGTCTGCCTTGGATATTTTGAGTAGATATTTCCTAAGTAGTTTTTAAGGGTGATTTTTTTTTACTATGCTGAATTTTTACCTTGTACTGATTTTCTAATGTAATGCTTGCTTAAGAATCAACTCTACTGTATTAGCATTATCTGGAAAACTCATCAACAAGGGTAATTGCATAATGAACATTTGTATATCTAACCCTGAATTGTACCCCACATATTTAAAATAAAAAAAATTTTTTTAAAGATAAAACCAGAAACAAAACTCATTCTTTCATTCAACAAATGCTCATTGAGTGTCTATTATTTACCAGGTACTGATGCAAAAATCTGATTGATCTCAGCTAACTTAAATTGTAGTAGATTCCAAGTGTTTGTTGTATGCTAAAATCCTTTCTTATTTGTATGGTCTTGTGTGTGTGGTACCCATGAAAAGTAGACCATGATAAACTTGCCAGACCCTCAACGTCCCACCTAGAATGTAGTACAAAGAGATTTTGAATCTTTTTTTTTTTTTGAGTTGGAGTCTCACTCTGTCACCCAGACTGGAGTGCAGTGGCCACTCCTGGCCACCGCAGCCTCGACCTGCTGGGCTCCAGCGATCCTTCCACCTCAGCCTTCCAAGTAACCAGAATTATAGGCATGCGCTACCATGCCCGGCTGATTTTTTGATTTATTGTAGAGATGAGGTCTCGCCTGCCCAGGTGGGTCTCGAACCCACGGGCTCAGGCAATCCACTCACCTCAGCCTCCCAAAGGCCCGGGATTACAGGCTGAGCCACTGAGCCCGGCGAAATTTTGAATCTTTACATAAAATTCTATTGCATTGTTCCAATTTCAAACTGGAAATTTTAAGTATGAGTAGATTAGGGATTTTGTCTGAGGGCATGTCTAAATGAAACATTGTATGGAGTCAAAAAATAAAAAGGAAGAGATTTACAAATACTGAGATTCAGATCAGTGGATGCATCTAAGGATATGATCAATAAAAAGTACTGAAGAGGATTCAACTGTACTGATAATGTTTTATTTCCTAAGTAAAATTTGGGGTTTATGGATATTCACTGGTTTATTCTCTACATATTTTCTATATTATAAATATTATATAAACGTTTCCAAAACTGAACTCCAGAAAAGAGAAAAAATGATATATTTGGGAATGGAAATCAGGTTTTAAAATCTCGAAAATAGTTAAGGTCTTTTCTTTTGAAGGCACAAATATAAGAAAGAGTTCAGATCAAGGTCCCATTCAATGTGCTAGTTCTCTCTGTTGGTAGAATATTTTGGGAATTACTTCACTTATCCCTGATTAAAATGTTTTCAAATATACAAAATTCATGGTCAAAAAATGCATTTTCGAAATTGCTCCACACACTAATCCTGGATCTTATACCTAAAGGATCACAATGTGATTTCACGAATAAAGATAGAGTGACACTCCCAGGAAGGAAACAAAAGAGAGAAAGAATTTTCAGGCCAGAGACACACTGTGATTGGCAGAGAATGTCTGCATGGATGGCCCTTACTGAGTTAGCATCTGTTTTTACCTAATGGTCTTTGTGACATGAGCTTTGAGAGACCAGCCATCAAGGGCTAGTTTTTCTCGAGACGATTTGCCCAAGAGTAATAGATCTAGAATTTGTAGTCAAAATCGTCTTTGTTAATGTGTTCTCTCTCTTTCTCTCTCTAATATTTTAATTTCAGCGAAGGAAGCAACCTGACCCCAGCACATCACTATCCAGACTTCAGATTTAAGACATATGCTCCATTAGCATTCCGATATTTCAGAGAACTTTTTGGTATCAAACCTGATGATTACTTGGTAAGAGCCTGTCATTTTTCTTCCACCTACAGAAATGTGTGATGTAAACATTTATTTCATAGCAACAGCGACAAGTAAGCTGTGTCTCTTATTTTATAAAGTTTTGGGGCATAGTAAAAGTTCCAAGTTTTATAACAATTATAAATATAGCTTCAGGAAATTTGATTTGACGCTACAGCTTTTAAGTGATAGCTACAAAGTCTGCTGTTGTAATTGATATTTAAATAACCATGATATCGGTTGCTACTTCAGATAATTATTCTAACAGATATATTATTATAATTAGTTCTAAATACTCCTGTGAATTTTGCTGATTAGATTCTATTTGAAAGCCTTCCTGTTTTAATTGCCTTATTTATACCATTCATATGAAACCTACCTTGGCCCACAACGATTTCACCTTGACCTACAAATTTGAATAACATTTTAAAGAACTGGATAGTTTTGTTCTCAACATCTCTTCATGCAGGCTCTTTTTAAATGTATTTTTATTTGGCACAAGGGCATATTTGATCCTCAGATTTGTCTGTTCTCTCCGTCTTCCTTTTGGCACACAGGAAGTACAAACACAACAGCCTTTTTGTGAGGCAGTCTGATGTGACTTCAGAGTTTTACCTTATTCCTGCTCAAGGAGCCAGGAACTTCCTTTCTGTTGCAAGTAAAAAAAAAAAAAAAAGGCTTATTTCATAATTTGATCACTGTTAATACCCTGGGGCTCTTCAAAATTGGTTTTCAAGAAATTGTAGGAGGGATGCCATCAAATATTTATTGTTCATCCCATTCTCAATGATCTTAATAAGACTTGAGCCAGATCCTGGGATAATACTTTTCAGAGGAAGCATAGCCACACTTGTAACAAGGGGTATTTAAAATGCATCTTGTAATTTGGATTTGATGTAAATAATTAAATTCAAAGCTGATTCTATTCCATGCTGATGAAAACCCATAAATGTGTCTTCCGAATCTTCATGTGAAAAAGAAATGCCATGAATAATTTTCTTCTTTAATTGGCCCCTAAGAAAGTCATATGACTTCTGCCTGATGAAATAATACTGGTTTCTCAAGGCACATGAATAATTCTCCAGGGAGCAGTGAGGACAGGGTAAAATGTCCCTGGGCAGGTAAAAAGTCCCCTTAAATATTTATGTCCATATTGTCATATTTTTCTTACCACTCCCCACTAATGAAAACATCACATGCCTCTATCCATCACTACCAACTCAGGTACACACGCATATACGTGTTAGGGAAGATCCTTTGGGTGGGTGGGTGGATGTGGGTGTGTTAAAAAAGATCCTGTGATTTCTCACCCTCTCAGGAAACATGTTTGGGGAACCCAATGGGGATTTGATATTATATTATAGGAAACTAAGTAGATCTTTGTGCCACATGTTAGAAGTTAATGGATTCTCTTTCTGAATTTCCTTGAACTTCTTCTCCCCAGCCAAGAGATGCTATAGATTTCCATTGCACACTGCTGATGCAGTCAGTACTACAAGACAGAGGCCTGTCTCTAGCCCTCCTGTGTCCATTGCCCCGCAGGCTGGAAATCTATTCTTCCATTTGTTCTGATCTCACAAATTTGCTTTCTTTGGGAAGACCCTTTTCTGAACAACTCACACAGATTACACAAGTGTCCTAATGAGTCTTCAAGCTAGAACAATTAGTTTTACAACAGGGTTAGAGTATTTGCAAAGGAGCACAGGAGACTAAGCTGATGGTTTCTTACAGCAACAGTCTTAATCCCTGTACATGGCAATAGGCAAATTAACCAATCAATGGGTACACTGAATACCTACTGTATCTAAAATAATTTGCTAATGGTTATAGGGAGATTCAAAAAAAATTACAAGTCATGATACTCAGACAACTGAGAATCAAATTGGAATACTAATTTGCTTATATAGAAAAACAACCTACTCTCCCAGGCAGTTCATTTTAAAATTGAAACAAAACATGAAATGCTCCAGGATTTCGGAGGAGAGAAGAGTCTTTCTGTCTGTTGGAGTGACAATTAGGAGGTCATCTTATGAGCGTACTCTGCTTTTAACTGTTCTTTTAAAATTACAAGGGTAGAAAGGAAGGAATGGATGTTGGGGGGCAGGGAGGCTGTTGCCTAGACTGTGAGACAAGAGATGTGAGTGTGCTGGATGTTCAGAAGGACTTTGAATGGACTAGTAAGGTTTTAAGGGAGAGTTTTGTTCAAGAACATTAACAGATAGGACCAGATGATTCAAATCAAAAAGTTCTTATATTTTAGGAAATTAAAGAAATGTAAAGAATTCCTAGACATTTGATGATATTGAGAAATTGCTTTTTTGGTGGGATGACAATATTATGGTTTTATTTTAAAAGGTGAGTTCTTATCTTCTAGGGGATATACTGAGATATCTATGGATGAAATGATTTGCTATCTGGGATTTACTTTGATAGAATCTGAGGAGTTGGTCAAAAGATTTCAAATTTCAATTCAAGAGGAGGAATAAGTACGGGAGATCTAGTCTACATGGTGATTATAGTTAATAACAATATATTGTTTACTTGAATATTGCTGAGAGTAGATTTCAAAGATAAATGTTTGAGGTGATAAAATCCTAATTATCCTGATTGGATCATTACCCGTTGTGTATAGGTATCAAAATATTACATGTACCCCCCCAAAAGTATTAATACAACTATTCCATATTTTTTAAAAGAAAAAAACGTTTCTTCTTGAAAAAAATGATAAATATGTGAGGTAAAGGATATGTTATTTAGCTCAATTGAGCCATTAGACAGTGTATACATACATCAAAACATGTTATATACTATAAAAATATATAATTTTACTTGTCAATTAAAAAATTAATTGAAAGCATACATGTTTAAAAAGTGAATTGTAGAGTATCTGATTTATATATCTATAGAAGTATAAAAAATTAATTGAAAGCCAAAAAAACAAAAACAAAAAACCACCCACCCAGATTCTGAGGGAAGGGAAGGGAAGTAGTTGGAGGTATAGAAGAAATAAAATTGACCATGAATTGATCACTGAATGATCATGAATGAATTAAAACTGGAAGATAGACACATGGGTGTTAATTACATAATTCTCTTTACTTTTATGTATGTAAGTATAATTTAAAAGACGGAGGGATACAACCAGATAGTGCCTTTGTTTGATTCCATTTTTCTCCCTTCATTCATCATGCACACAGAGTTCAATGACTAGACACATCTCTGGGACTTGTAAGAAATAGAACAAAGGCAGTGACCCTAGTTAAATGTGACTGCTTGGTCCCCAACAGCTACTGCCACCCACCTGCCCCTGCACTGAGGACACCTACAGCCCACTGAGGCAGATCCCCTGACAAGTCTTAGAGCTCCCAGAAGCTTACCTCCAAACTGCTTTGTTTGGAAAACCCACCTAATGATCTGAAGTGAGGTAGATAGAAAAGGGTCTCTTGCATGACACCGCCTGCTCCAAGAAAAACCTCCAGAGACTTGAGCCCAACGCTTCATTTTACATATGAGGAATCTCAAGCTGGGGTCAGCAAAAGGAGATGCCCAAGGTTTCCCACATTGGTGGGAGCAGAGCATAGACCAGACAGTGTCTCCTCATCCTTCCCCAGTACTTAAAGACCCTTTACGAGCAGACTTCATGCTTCTCATATTTGATGAGAGATCTGTGAGTCACACACCTCTCATTAAATATGGACTCAGGCTGACTTCTTCCTAGCCCATCAAACTGTGATTGTCCATTCTGAAGAATAAAGCCAAGAGGCCAGACACCTCTAACAAAGCACAATTTGGAAAAGTTGAGCTCAAATAAAGCACAGAAAAATGAAATAAAGACATCTTTTGAAAAACTCTGTGAAGAAACAAAGGATACCATACAAATCACAAAGTACATCCAGGTATCTCTCAAACTGGGGCTACTCAAACCCACACTTGTAGGAACTCAAACGTGCCGAAAAGAAAAAAGCAAACAGCCCCATTACAAAGTGGGCAAAAGATATGAATAGACACTTCTCCAAAGAAGACATACGGGCAGCCAACAGATACAAGAAAAACTGCTCAACTTCACTAGTCATCAAAGAGAAGCAAATTAAAACTACACTGAGATACCACTTAACTCCAGTCAGGATGACCATCATCAATAACCCAGAAAACAGTAGATGCTGGAGAGGATGCTGCGAAAAGGGAACACTTCTACTCTGTTGGTGGGAGTGTAAACTACTACAGCCTCTGTGGAAAAGTGAGGCGATTCCTAAAAAATCTAAAAACCGACCCTCCGTACAACCCTGCAATCCCCTACTGGGAATATACCCAGAAGAACTCAAATCACTCTGTAAAAAAGATGCCCGGACACATATGTTTATCGCAACATTGTTCACAGCAGCAAGAACATAGACTCAACTGTGCTGCCCATCAAAATAAATGTGGTACATATACACGATGGAATATTACACAGCCATAAAGAAGGACAAAATCATGAACTTCACAACAACCTGGATGGACTTAAAGTCTATAGTACTAAGTGATCTTTCACAGAAACAAAGAACTGAGTATCACGTGTTCTCACTCATAAGCGAACCTTGAACAATTAGTGTAATACTATAAAAAAAGGATTGGCAGTATCAGGAAACTGCTGAGGAGGAAGGGAGAGGCGGGATTGGCCATAGTAGGAATCTGCTGTGGGTGGGGGGGTGGCACATCAACAAGGGTACCTACATAATGAACATTTGTATACCTAACCCTGAATCATACCCCATATCTTTAAAATAAAAAAATTAGGCCAGGCTTGGTGGCTCAGCCTGTAATCCCACGCTTTGGGAGGCCGAGGTGAGTGGATTGCCTGAGCGCACGGGTTCAAGACCCGCCTGGGCAACTTGGTGAGACCTCATCTCAACAATAAATCAAAAAATCAGTCGGGTGTGGCAGCGTGCGCCTGTAGTTCCAGCTACTTGGAAGGCTGAGGTGGAAGGATCGCCAGAATCCAGCAGGTCGAGGCTGCGGTG